GGGGGGTTGTGAGGGGGAGAGAGGGGAAGAGGAGCTGAGCACGGGGAAGAAGATGAGTTGGGAAGAAGAGTGGTGGTGGGGCCCACAAACCAGCCCCTCCCCACCTTATCCAGAACACAGGACCCTACCGCCAGAGGGTATGGCGGTAGGCTCCAGTAACCTACCGCCGTAGGGGATGGCGGTAGGACCTTTTTCCACGTCAGCGGCTGCCAACGGCCGTTAGTCGCCGTCAAATCGCCTACCGCCGTAGGCTATGGCGGTAGGTCATGCAATCCTACCGCCAGGCCCTCTGGCGGTAGGTAAAAGGGTCAGATCCCGAAATTTTTCCGAACTGGGGTCATATCCCGATTTTCTTTTCAAAAAGGGTCAAAACACGAAATTTGGCCGCGGGATGCAGCCTACCCTCCTATCAACCCACGCGCAACTGATGTCACTGCCCCAGCACCCTAATCGTTGTTGCTCAGTACCATAATGGCCAGAATTGGCTCGCCCTGCTAACCACCTCCACCTGAAAGACGATAGCCATTGCACGCCATCAGATCTGCCCGAACGATGCTCGCCAACAACCCACGCCACCGTACCAACCACGTAGAAGTCATCCACGCCCGCCACATGATCCACAACGACATCGTTGGGAGAGGCCCCGCCGCCATCATCCGCTGCGTGGGCTTCGCCCATGGGCCTCCTCCGGCGGCGGCGAGGTGGGAGGTGGGTGGAGGAGAAGGGGTGTGGCGGCGGCCTAGTTTTCGCATGAGCCACTCGAGGAAGCGACATGCGGCTATTTTTACTTTTTTTTAGAAAAGGGGGGACTCCCCGGCCTCTGCATCTGAGTGATGCATACGGCCACATTTATAAATAAATAAAGTGGTTCAACAAAGTCTTGCAATGTGCTGCAACAAAGGAGGCTGGCTCACAAAGAGCTAGCGAAATCAAACAAGGCCCAGAAGCCACAACCGGCTGGCATACTAAAGAAAGATAGGTAAACTAATCGCCTATCCTATTACATGACCGCCATCCAAACCGGCTGGCTATTTTTACTTAGCAATGATAATCAGGCAGGCATACTAAAGAAAGATAGGTAAACTAATCGCCTATCCTATTACATGACCGCCATCCAAACCGGCTGGCTATTTTTACTTACCAATGATAAGCAGGCAGGCATACTAAAGAAAGATAGGTAAACTAATCGCCTATCCTATTACATGACCGCCATCCAAACCGGCTGGCTATTTTTACTTAGCAATGATAATCAGGCAGGCATACTAAAGAAAGATAGGTAAACTAATCGCCTATCCTATTACATGACCGCCATCCAAACCGGCTGGCTATTTTTACTTACCAATGATAATCAGGCAGGCATACTAAAGAAAGATAGGTAAACTAATCGCCTATCCTATTACATGACCGCCATCCAAACCGGCTGGCTATTTTTACTTACCAATGATAATCAGGCAGGCAAAGAGATTGCCTTAGCCACTTGTCAGCCTCAATGGTCAAGTTGTTTCCTACATATCTATCTATTCTATCTACCAGATGACACGATGTGCCCATGGTGCAAAGGCCAAATGCAAATGAGAAGTTAGGGAAGCCGTATGAAAAAATTATTTGACTCCTATGAAAGCACCGATGAATATTCCTCAAAACGCTCATTCTGAAAACGATCAAAGCATTTTCTGAAAGGTTAGCAAACAGAGCATTTCACATTTGTTTCACACAAACTTCACATTTTCAGAGTTTGGTTGACAAGTTGAAAAATAGGTTTGGATTCAATTTGCCTAACTCAACAAAGAGTTTGGTTGCCCGTGTAGAGTCATAATAACATCTCTATCCTCTTTGGATTCAATTTGCCTAACTCAACAAAGAGAGGTGGTTTGTTTGAATCTAACTTCTAATAGTCCTTCATTGTTGACTCTATGTACCAATGAGTTTTCTGTTGCTAAAGCCATGGAGGAACAGCAAGCCTATTAGTCCTGATTGGGGATAGTATCTCTAATTGGATATCCACATATTGCAAGCCTTCTATAAAATCCTTCTCTCTTTCTAGTTGTTTCCCGAGAAATTCATTGTGCGCCTTCTGTAATTCAATGTGAGATGCTTGCAGTGTAGGTGATTTCAGTGGTTCACTTGTGCCCTCATCCTGAACTGGTTGCTTCTTTCACTAGCATTAGTAATCTGTGGATGCATAGATTTAAGGATATATATAACTCATGTCTGCTAACCGCAGTCCTAGATTAGCTACAGATTTCTGGACAACCCCAACTTGTTCTGAAATGTCACCTTGCTTTGAACCAACAGAGCACATCTGTGGTGAGAGTCATCACCTCAGTACATAGTGCTGAAGTCTCCTGTTGTTGGCCGATAAATTCGTCCGGCATGGTGTGTACTTCCTGGATTCACATCATCCAAGCTTTTGCTGACACGACCCATCTTCTTGATCTGAAGAATGAGAGTGGATTTTTACCACTGGACAAACCAATAACCAGATCTTGTTGTCAGATCCTTCCTCTTCCAACCAAATCGCCGCCCCAAACAACACAACTCGTATGTAGATTGGGGACTTTACCGCGAGAATAATTTGTTCCAGACACCTGTCTCATCCCATGAGCTGTTGCCAAATAAGTCTACAACCGCCCAAAAATCCACAGCAGGCAGCACGAACAAGGGAGATGAGGGTGGAAATCTCTCTCATTGCTGTTGATCAGAAACGCCTCCAAGGAAAATTTTGGCTCTGATGAATACCACATTGTCAGATCCTTGCAATGGTATAAACATGTTGTTAACTTGCATCGAAATGTGAGGGACGATTTCTATGTAACCGAAGATATATGTATCAATACTGATTCACATCTTCATTAACAAAGAGGGGGAAATTGATTGATAAATATAATGATTCTAGAGTCGAATCTGAATCCAGAAAACATGGCATGGTATAAACATGCTGCTAACTTGCATCGAAAAATGTAAATTTCTACTTAAATGATGGACCACGCTGGTCCCTCCCTGGTCGCCGTCACACGGTGGCGGGCGGGCTTGGCGAGCGGCGGCGTTTCTTCAACGCCCTGAGTGCACCTACCAGCATGACCGCGAACTCTTCTATTGCTTGCCGCGGGGTGATGGCAAGATCGTCGGGTGAGAGTAGGTTAGGACGGTAGCCGGGAAGCACGCTTCGGTTGATGTCCGATGAGTGCAGCTGCTTCTGATCATCCCACACCTTGTCGAAGCATGGCTGGTCCTGCGAGGTGTCGTACTTGTACACGCAGTCACCGTACAGGTAGTAGAGTATGCCGCCGTTGGTGTCGGCGTTGTCATCACTGTTGGCATTGGCGTCGAACCAGGCGGCCCTCAGGTAGGGGTACTGGCGAGGTTGGTGGACAAGGTGAGTGGCGCCCATCTCAAAGATGTAGCGCAGCTGCCAGCAGAGCGACGGCGGCGCCGCCGCCAGGACAAAGAACCTGAGGCGGTTCGTTGGGCTGAGTTCATGCATGGCGACGCTTGGGCGGCCTTGAAGCTCCAGGACATGGGCCACGGCTTCATCTGTGTAGTAGATGGGGAGGCGGCACGTGCGGCATGTCTCGGTGGCCACGTCGATGATCATCAGGCTGTCAGGCTTCCTGTCTCGGTCCTGCTGCTTGGCCAGGAAGTACAAGGTGCCATCGATGAGAGCCGGCGGCGAGCCCATAGCGTGGCAGGTGAAGAGGCCTTGGCGGCGGCGCCACACGCCTGCCCCGGGCCCACGGCCCAAGGTGAACACCTGCAGGTAGTTGACGTCGAGCAGCCCTTGGTCGCCGCTGGCCGAGAAGGAGAGGCGGAAGAGCTTGTACTCCCGCGTCGACGGGCTGTACCCCATGGCGTCCATGTGCCAGTGAGAGTTCCAGAACACGCTCGACGTCTCGCTCCTGAGCGGCGGGTCAACCGCCAGCTTGACGCCGGTGATGGGGTTGCAGATGACGAGCGGCAGCCAGGTGGCGTTGTTGGCGACGAAGAGGACGAAGCCGTTGCAGGCTTGGGCGGGGGTGTACCCGGCGAGCAAGTTGAGAACGCACATGGTCGCCGCCGTGCAGACGTTGTAGACGGTCGTCTTGGGGACCAGGCCGGGCTCCGGCTCGGTCCGGGAGACCAGCAGCGCCTCCGCGGCGGCGCGGGCGCCGGAGACGACGTGGGCGGAGTGGGCGTGGAGGTCGAGGAAGGCCGGGTCGGAGAGGAGGCCGCGCCACTGCGTGGACACACAGCGGCCGCGGGCGACGGCCCTCGTCGGCAGCCCCAGCAAGATCTTGCGCAGGAGGATCTCGTCGGCCGCCACCGGTTCCATCCTCGAGGTCCGACAAGCACCGCAAATTTAGATCGGGCGGCGGAATTTCCGGTGGCGGCTAGGTTAGGCTTAGTGGGTGAGGGGAGGTCGGGCGAGTGAGTGGGTGCCTGCCGGCTAGGTTTTTAGTGGGTGGGGGCTGGGTTGGGCCTTGGAGGTTCGATGGGTCAGCCTGGCTCGTTCTCTTTTTTAAATAAAACAAAAGAGGAGCAAATGATTTATTTGGACGACCAAATAAAATACAAATAAAATACAGCAAAATATAATAATAATAATAATAATAATAATAATAATAATAATAATATGGTCCTACTACCCAAACCAAACGATGACAATGGTGGAATGGGAATAGTGGGAGAGGAAGTGCGGGCCGTACCATGGGCCCGGACCAACACAGGGACGAGCGAGCCTCCCCCGAACAGCTCCCGTTAAATCGAAACACTGCGGCAGCCATCGCCACTTTGGCCCATCTCCAGTCCCAGTGCGCCCGCTGCTGTCGACATCGACGGATCGTCCACCTTGCCATTGGACGACGCGTGGCGTGCCATCCTCTCCGGTTCAACGCCCGTTGTTAGACCCACCGCTTCGTCCATGCCAAGACGCTAGGCAGCGAGGTCGTGAACCACCGGCTCGACAGATGCAAGGGCCGGCTCCATCTTCGCGACTAAAGGTGTGATCTAGTCTAGCTTGTGCTGGATCTCGAGGAGGGCCTTGGCCACGCTGCTTCTCTCCGCCGCGACCTCCTCCTCCTCCTCCATCTGCTTCCGCAGATCCAGCTCGGCCATGATTTGCTTGAGGCTATGCGTGTGCGGTCGCTCTAGATCGAGAGTTGCGGATGGGAAGAAATTGATGGTGGGAAGGAAGGCTTTGATACCAGATGTTACAGATCTAGGGTCTCTCACGTTGAGGCTCTGGACGTCGATCATGTTGATCGAGTCATCCGTCATCAAGCGGGGGCAGCTAGGACAAGGTAAGGGGTCAATGGTGAATCACTAACCAACCTATACTAGGTAGATTAGGATAAGTAGGTAAGGTAACAATTGCAGGTTACAGAAACAGGATATGCATCAGAATAGGAGCAATCAATTACAGTAGCAAAATCTAATGCAAGTATGAGAGAGAATGGCGATATTGAAATGGTCAAGGGGGGGGGTTTGCTTGCCTGGAACCTCTGCTGCAAGTGGCTGGACGTCAAGGGCGTAGTCGATCTCAGGAGCAGCATCAGCCTCAGGGTCTACCGGAGAGAAGAGAGGCAATAGACAATAAATATAAATCAGAGATGCATAATTAAGCATGACATGTCTGTCCTCCACTTCCACGATGTTTATTTTCCCTGAAAGAACTATGTGGCGCTTTGGCTCATCGTATGATGTAGTCGATCTCGGGAGCGGCGTCAGCCTCAGGGTCTACCGGAGAGAAGAGAGGCAATAAACAATAAATATAAATCAGAGATGCATAACTAAGCATGACATGTCTGTCTTGTCCTCCACTCCCACGATGTTTATTTTCCCTGAAAGAACTATGTGGCGCTTTGGCTCATTGTATGATGTATTCACTTCCTTATCTTATCTTTCTCGGTTTGGTAGACATGCCCTTCACATAGAAGACTTACGCCACATCAATAGCTAGGACGAATGGTTTGTCTGTGTACCCAAGATTGTTGAAATCCACTATTGTCATACCGTACTGCAGGTCTAGCTACCTGTACCCCGCCTCCTGTTAGATTGACCCATTTGCACCAAAACAAAGGGACCTTAAAATTACGTCCATAGTCAAGTTCCCATATCTCCTCTATGTAATCATAATATGTGTCCTTTACCCTATTAGTGTTTGCTGCATCAAAATGGACACCACTGTTTTGGTTGGTGCTCTTTTTATCTTGGACGATCGTGTAAAATATATTACCATTTATCTCGTACCCTTGCAAAGTCAATACAGTCGAAGATGGTGTCTTGGCAAACAAGTATACCTCGTCTTCAACAATGTTGTTACCCATGAGATGTGTTTGCAGCCAACCGCCGAAAGTCCCCATGTGTTCACGTGTAGTCCAGTCGTCAGACTGCTCCGGGTGTTTGAAGCATAGAATATTCTTGTGTTCACTGATATATGAGGCCACCAAGGTAGAATTTTCTGTAGAACTGTGTAGTGTGCTTGCGCCCAAGAATGTCCGTCCCTGCATATTATTGAATCTGCTCCTAGTGTGTCTTTTCCACTCATTCTTCCCTCATGCCGTGATTGAGGAACACCAATCGGCTTAAGGCCAGGAATAAAGTCAACACAAAATGCAATGACCTCCTCTATTTCATGGCCCTTGAAGATGCTTCCTTCTGGCCTAGCACGGTTACGAACATATTTATTTAAGACTCCCATGAACCTCTCAAAGGGGAACATATTGTGTAGAAATACAGGACCCAGAATGGCAATCTCGTCGACTCGGTGAACTAGGACGTGCGTCATGATGTTGAAGAAGGATGGTGGGAACACCAACTTGAAACTGACAATGGCTAATCGAACGTTTTCCGGTAGAAGCCCCCTCAATGCAACCGGAAGGAGTTGCATCATAATCACGTGACAGTCATGAGACTTTAGGTTCTGGAACTTTTTCTCTGCCATATTTATTATTCCCATTATATTCGACGAGAAGCCAGACGGTACCTTCATGCTGAGCAGGCATTCAAAGAATATTTTCTCCTCTTCTTTGGTAAGATCGTAGCTGGCCTAACCCTGATGTATGCCGTCTTTTCCGTGCATGCGTTGCTGGTCCTCCTGTGCCTCTTGTGTATCTTTTGTCTTCCCATACAGCCCAAAAAGCCAAGCAGGGTCACGCAAAGATTCTTCGTCACGTGCATCACGTCGATTGCAGAGCGGACCTCTAGGTCTTTCCAATATGGCACGTCCCAAAATATAGATTTCTTCTTCCACATGGGTGCGCGTCCGTCAGCGTCCTTCGGAACAGGTTGTCCGCCGGGACCCTTTCCAAAGATTACCTTCAAATCCTTGACCATATCATGTACATCAGCACCAGTACGGTGGCGAGGCTTCGTCCGGTGATCCGTCTCACCTTTGAAATGCTTGCCTTTCTTTCTTACAGGATGCCTTGTCGGAAGAAATCGACGATGTCCCAGGTACACATTCTTCCTACAGCTATCCAAATATATACTGTTGGTATCATCCAAACAGTGCGTGCATCCGCGGTATTCCTTATTTGTCTGTCTTGAAAGGTTACTGAGAGCAGGCCAATCATTGATGGTCACGAACAGCAACGCCTTTAGGTCAAATTATTCCTGTCCATGCTCATCCCACGCACGTACACTTGTTCCATTCCACAGCTGTAATAGTTCTTCAACTAATGGCCTTAGGTACACATCAATGTCGTTGCCGGGTTGCTTAGGGCCTTGGATGAGCACTGGCATCATAATGAACTTCCGCTTCATGCACAACCAAGGAGGAAGGTTATACAAACATAGAGTCACAAGCCACGTGCTATGGTTGCTGCTCTGCTCCCCAAAAGGATTAATGCCATCTGCGCTTAGACCAAACCATACGTTCCTTGGGTCACCTGCAAACTCCTCCCAGTACTTTCTCTCAATTTTTCTCCACTGCGAACCGTCATCGGGTACTCTCAACTTTCCGTCTTTCTTACGGTCTTCTGCGTGCCACCGCATCGCCTTCACATGCTCTTTGTTTTGGAACAAACGTTTCAACCATGGTATTATAGGAGCATACCACATCACCTTGGCAGGAATCTTCTTCCTGGGGCGCTCACCCTCGACATCACCAGGGTCATCGCGACTGATCTTATAACACAATGCACCGCATACCGGGCAATCGTTCAAATCCTCGTACTCACCGCGGTAGAGGATGCAGTCATTAGGGCATGCACGTATCTTCTGCACCTCTAACCCTAGAGGGCAGACAGCCTTCTTTGCTTCATACGTACTCTCGGGCAATTCGTTGTCCTTTGGAAGCATATTCTTTATCATTACCAGCAAATTTCCAAATCCCTTGTCAGATACACCATTCTCTGTCTTCCATTGCAGCAATTCAAGTGTGGTGCCCAACTTTTTTTTGTCAGCTTCGCAATTCGGGTACAATAATTTCTTGTGATCCTCTAACATGCGCTGCAACTTCGTCCTCTCTAGATCACTTGCGCAGTTTCTCTTTGCATCGGCAATGGCCCGACCTAGATCATCAGCGGGCTCATCTGATGCCTCTTCTTCAGCTTCTTCCCGCATTGCCGGCTCAACTTCTTCCCCCATTGTTGTATCATCGTATTCAGGGAACCCATGGCTAGGATAGCCGTCGTCGTCCTCTTTTTCTTCATTGTCTTCCATCATAACCCCTATTTCTCCGTACTTGGTCCAAACATTATAGTGGGGCATGAAATCGGACTCAAATAGGTGGACGTGAATGGTTCTTGGCGTAGAGTAACTGTGACTATTCTTACAGCCAGCACATGGACAAGGCATAAAACCATCGGCCCGCTTGTTTGCCTCAGGGGCAAGCAGAAAAGTATGCACGCCATTAATGAACTCGGGAGAGCATCGGTCATCATACATCCATTGTCGGCTCATCTTCATTACACAACACCGAATAGACCAAATTAATACAAGTTCATACATAAAGTTCATACATAAAGTTCATATACAACACTTAATTAAATGCAACATACAAATAAAGCTGAAGTTCGATCGCATGTTAGATGATCACAGAAAAGGATTGTACCCCAATTGCGAAGATGGCAACACAAAGCTCGGTACTGTACTGGAATTGCTGCAGTGGAAGGCAGAGACTGTTGTGCCTGACAAAGGATTTGAGAAGCTACTGAAAATATTGAGGAAGAAGCTTCCAAAGGATAACGAATTTCCTGACAGTACATACGCAGCAAAGAAGGTCGTATGCCCTCTAGGATTGGAGGTGCAGAAGATACATGCATGCCCTAATGGCTGCATCCTCTATCAAGGTGCGTACGAGGATTTGAACGCATGCCCGGTATGCAGTGC